GTTTAGTGTCCTCTGCAAGCTGACAGGGTGCACTTGATCCCCACATCCAGACCATGGGTAAAGACTTAAAACAGGGCCGTCCCCAACACTGAGTCCTGGGGATCAGCACTTGTGACTGGCCATGTGCTGGATGTAACTCCATTCACTTCCACTCTCTGGGCCTGGCAGTCCAGCTGGTTTTAGGCAAAAAAGGGTGTACTTGTCCATGAACAGACAATGTCTTTATTGTGTGTTTTCAGGTGGCTTGTGCATCTCACCAAATGCCTACAACACTTAAAGAGTGCAGGCATGCTTGTGGAACACATTCTGTCATGTAGACATTTGACAGGCATCTGTTTCATGTATGGCAAGGCTTCTCTGAACCAAACACAGTAAGCTGGCGCATTAGAAAGATCCACTTCAAAAGTCATTCCTCATCCAATCCAAAACATAGCATACCCTGATGCTCACTTTTGACTATATGGGGTGATCACAGACTGTCGTAAGACATAGGGGATGTAACTTTTCTGCTTTTTTTCATTCTGCCCATGTGCTGTCTCACTGGTGTATATTAGTGAGTAATGGCAACTCGTCAGGCAACTACAGTAAAAATTAATTTCACAGGCACAGCAGAGGTGGTGGTTACAGATTCCACATTACATAGCACGAGCAGAAACACCAAATTATCATCTTGCTTAACTGATGACTGACAGAAATAAATCCTTTTTCCTCAAGAGGTGTAAAACATACTTGAAGATCCTGAGTCAAAGAGCCATCTGGACAAATCTAGGACTAAACTTTCACATCGGACCTATGTGCTGGCATTTTGTACAACTGAGGGTTTTACCAAAGCCCTACTCCTAGGAACTAGGAATATCAGCACTAGGGGATATGGGGCTTCAGGGCATGGTTCAAGACACTTATCCTGCAGCTATTTAGATTTATTCATTTCAGTAAACCAAAACTAGTTCATGTGCGTATATGTGGTTATGACACTTCTCTGACCCCATTACTAATGAGCACAACAATATTGCAGAGTCATATTCTCTAAATATCAAAGCAGGCCCAAAAGGAATTGTGTCTCTTACACTGTTCTCTTTGATATGTCAATGCACTTTCAGCAAGTATGTTAGTATGAGAGTTTACTCAGAGTAAACTGCATATGTGTTTATTCTCTGCCAGTTTGATAAGGTACTGAGAAGTTAATATTATGATTCATATCCTTTGCTTGCACTGCAAACACGTAGCAATGGTGCTCAACTAACCCTGGCATTAAATCTTACAGCAGAAATATAACGAAGACCAAAGGCTTACTGATTTGTTCCAGTAGTGGAATAGAAACTTTAAAAAAGTATATATTGCTGTATAAATTAATTAGACAATAGTTAAGGATTCTGTGTAACAGTTACAGAAACATTTCCAGTCCCCATATGTGTCAAATCACATAAATCTCAATAGTTAAGATCCAGGAGGTGTAAACTTACCCTTTCAATCTCTGTTTAGAGAATTATAGAATCATAGGATGATTTGAGCTGGAAGGAACTTTAAAGATCATCTAGTTCCAACTCTCTTGCCATAAGCAGGTACACCTTTCCCTAGACCAGGTTGCTCAGAGCCCATCCAACCTGGCCATGAACTCTTCCAGGGACAGGGCATCCACAGCTTCTCTGGGAAGCCTGCTCCAGTGTCTCACCACCCCCACCATGAGGATTTTTTTCTAATATCTAACCTAAACCTTTTAGTCTATTAATTTAAAGTATTTCCAGATTTGGCATGCATGGGACAGAACATTTTTGATACTTTAAATGCATGTGGGTCACCAGGTGAATGTGTTAAGAAATAAGGAAAAGGGTGGAGCCAAAGCTAATTCCACATTTTGAATTTGAAAGAAGACCAAGGCTGGCTGATGAGACTGTATTGTCTCAGAACAGTTCAGTCAGAGTAGTACACTGATTCAAACCAGGAGGTGCAGAAGAATGAGCTGGGAAGACACAAAAAAGATGATCTGGCTGAGAGGCTCCTTAATTTAATACTCCTTAATATTTTAAAATATATAATTTTTAATTTATTTTAAAATAAATATAATTAACATTTAATACAGAGTGTATGAAGGTGTGCTGAACTACACTATCTAGTCACAATTTCCAAGTTTCCAAGAGTTTCCTTTCACTCTCCATCAATAAAAATGTTGGTGTTTGCAAGGATGACTTCCTTGTTTATTGAAGTGTAAATATGTTTCGTCCATGTACAAGATGGCAGTATGAGGCAGGAAGAATGAAAGGAGTGCTTGATAGCACTGAAGATATTTAAAAACAGCAAGATGGGAAGATGAGACGGGATCTGGTTTACATTATCTTGGAAAGTTTATGCATACTGGTGATGCTGCTAAATAATTTTTGGAAGAAGATAAAACAATGTTTAAAGAGGAAATCTTGAAAAGAGGCAGAAACTTAATATGTTCAGTGAAAAGTCAATTTTACACAGAAAATCTCTTCCTGATGCTAAAAGAAATACATGTTCTTTTTGTAGGAGTTTTATGTCACGACTATCAAATT